CACGCAGTACGTATTTACTATAATTAGACATAGTCTTTACCTTGCCGTTTATTCGGTGTTATTTGCTTACTTTACTTCCTATGTCGACAGCAACTATGAGTTTAAAAATTATTTCTCAGTACTTATTCACTGTTAAAATGCTGTACCATTACTTTCACCATCCTACTACAGCCAGATCTGAAGGCCTTTGCCGCATTCTGGCCATGCTGTGTGGCGCGTATCGCGTGGACGGGTTTCACGTTCTCTGCACGTAATAAGCTCGGTTATTAAGCATCCTTTTTTGGGGATGCCCGGTGGCCGAGGGGAAGACGTGTAGTGGCGTGAAGCTAGGCGATTAGGTGCCGTACGCGAGCGCCGGTTCGAGTCACGCACGCAGTACGTATTTACTATAATTAGACATAGTCTTTACCTTGCCGTTTATTCGGTGTTATTTGCTTACTTAATGTCTCTAATATGGCTACTGCCACGGGCGTGGCAGGAGACAATGTGGCTATTGCCACGTCCCGGAAGTAAACGTACCGACGTTCTATGTGGCACAAGACACTCCGTTTAAAAATAGCTTTTCTTCGACATTATTATCTCTTATTACTGATTTGAGACTACTTTTACTACTTCAGCAACCGTGGCTTATTAGTAATGTGGTTTAAAATATGAACAGATCACTCAATTCTATACACATCAGAATAAATTGTTTTATAAAAGTAAAAGAATCAAAAACAATTATTTGTGAAATGCCCAAAACAAACACTGATGGCATACATCTGTACAATATAAAAACAACTTCCTGTCAAAAATGATAGTTGTAGTCATTTTTTTTCAAAATAAAAACTAAATTTATTATTGTCTGTTTTAAAGTTACTAGTAATATGCAGATACAATTTGACGGTCTGTGCCATTAGGGGTTGAACACTGAGGAGTAAACTTCACAGTTGCTATTGTTCGAAAAAACACATAAATCCATCATAAAAAACAAACTATAAACACAGTGTACATTTCATTATTTAGCCTGAAGTGGGAATATAATGAGAATTACACACAGTTGTTCATGTCACTATAACAACTAGTCACTACATAATTCTAAGAAATCAAGAAGTGGTGATGCCAATACACTATGGTTTCACGAGTTTATCACCGTCCTACTGTTTCTGTTTCAATTGCTTGAGACGTTATTTGAAATAAAATTTATTATCATAAATACTGAATATTTTGTATGAATGCGCCCTCAAGCTGCAAGAACTAGTACAGGATCCACGTGATAACACGTTCTAAAATCATTTTTTTTTTCACGGGATCATCGCCACCGTGCTAAACTCAGCAAGTTTCCAATTATTTAATTACATTGATACATTGTTTGGATTCATTACAAATATTTAATTTAATTAAATATTTTGGGTGTCTGCGCCCTCAAGGCAATAAAAGACAAGGAATTATACTTTATAAAATAGTCTTTCCACTGGTTCATCACAGCTCTGGAGTAAAATTTATTGTCCTAGATATTGAATTTATTCTGTAGAAATACTATCATGCTACAAGTTATAAGATTCCTCTTTCATTTTTTACCATTCTTCATTTCAATTGTGATATGTTTCATTATCTGAGTTTTGACACAAATGAAATATATCCTATTACTAACAGAACTTGTTTTGTTTTAGTACTGTCACTACACTTATATGTATAGCTACAGTTGTAATGGAAGTTCGGGTGCACTATCCAACATTCTGAATTCAATTTGGAGCATTTTGACACAGTCCCCCCGATTGTGATTTTGACTTCTTTGATAAGTACATACAGTCAGTCAGTCTTCATCTGCATGTGTTGTTGTCATGGATACAAAATCATTAATATTCTACTTATCACTTTGTAAGTTGTAATCTGTTTTCATCTGCGGAGTTTGTGAAACTTTCATAATTGATTCCTTTTTATTTTTTATTTTCTTGTCATGGAAACTGAATTCAAACTTTACTTTATTAATTTAAAACAATTAGAAAAATAATATTTAATTCATAAAAGTATTGTGGATCAGATGGGTTCATGTAATTTGTGTAATTTCTTTCAATGAGATTTAATTACAAAATGTATACATACATTAAATATGTAAATTCTGTCACTAAAATAACATAAAAATAAAAACTAGTTTACCATAATGTATCATAGTATTCTACAGGGAAAACAGTTTTACACATTTTGTCAATGCACATAAAAATATAGTTTCCCAGTTTCTCTGTTTCATAAGATACAATGCCTTAAATATATAAATATTATTAATAATGCTTAAAGCGAGAAAGTCGTCAACTGCGCACGCACAGGAATTGAGTCCCAAGCAACGATAACGCAAACACAAAGGCTCATGGGTAGAGGGTTATTTGTAAACAATGACACGTTATGGCCACCTGACGCATACGTAGGTGACAACTCCCCCGCTTTAATATAATAAGTAAAAGTAATATTTACTGAAGATAGTAAAGCAGATACATCAATTCACCAGAAAAAAAAATTGTTGTTGCAAAAATGTTCAAATCAAATCATACTTAAGTATGTAAGCTTTACAACTAAGGAATACTAAAACCCATTTAATTAAAATAGCAATATAATTTAAATACCTGTACATTCTAAAAACATAATGAAAAGATGTGTAAATCAACAATCAATTAAATTGAAATAGCTGGTAATTAAAAATATACAGTATTTAATAAAAAATATGATAAATCATATTGCATAAATCTGATAACTAAGGTTACAAGCACCATTGGAACCATCTCCCTGAAAGCAACATCTTTACTAGCTTCTGACAATAAATACAGTGTTGATATCTTGTAAATGGCTAGACTTTTCTTCCACTGTATGGTTCATGTTTGTCTTTAATCAACATAATCTTGTCAATAACTTCACCTTTCTGAAAAATGAGGCAGTGAGTCATTTGTTATTTTATTGTTCCACTACAAGGAAATTAATGTTGTTCATAATTTGTTTACATTAAGTCAAAGAACGTGTGGTGTCATCGAAACAGATAGAGACATACTGAAAAAACTTACCGGGTAATGGCTGCCAGATATTGAATAGAATCACAAATACTATAGAATACTTTATTTTCGCTTGGAATTTAATTTTGCTATTTTCGCTGAAGGGATGATTCCGTGAAAATAAAATCCAGCAAATATACATTTTTTTCCTATACATTGTATTTCACATTAAACTCATCAAAAATCAGTGAAAATAAATTCCATACAAAACGCCCAAAAAGCCTTTTCAGTGAAAATTAATTGCAGCGAAAATAAAGTATTCCACAGTAAATAACAATGTGCACGCCTACCACCTACTATGAATTATCATCATACTAGGTTTGTTTAAAATTTGACATTGTGCCATTGTATTGTCTTTGTACCAAGTTTAAAATAAATTTCTGAAATTTAAATATCCTCTATTTTTTTCTCAACATGGATTAAAAAGTGTATAAACATACCTTGTCATCAGACACTTGTTCCATGTACAGGTGTGTGTTGTTCAAGATTTGCATTCTAGTGTAACCGTAATCTTGACTACGAAATGCACTCCATGGTCGATATGGTGGCTGGAATCCATCATGATCTTCTCGACATCCCTGTAGTAGTACATATCAGAAGAAAAAAGAAATTGTTACACTTGCTTATTGAGACACATTGCCAGATCTAAAAAACAAAACTCACACTCAAGTAAATAAATATCTCAACAAGCAACCTCTCAGCTGAGATAACTCCGCTGTTAGCAATGCACATTTTAATTAGAGAATTAGTCGAGGGTTCTCCGAACCCGCCTATTCACATAGTTCATTCCCACCATAGACTCCGGTCAGTCAAAATGACTATTTTGAACTGTAGGCATTAATCAGCAATTCTGCCGGTGACGGAGAGATAGAATCTAGGTCAGGGGAAGCCCCATGACCCAAAGATTCTCTTACCCTTACGTCACGAACCACATGATTGAGGCCATATGGCAGCGCCACAGACGGCTGTATATTCACTCTGGTTCTTTTCTCTCCGCATCAAGGACTTAGACCAACGCTACGGAAAGAGTGGGGTGGTTGGGGGGGGGACCCGGAGTCTATAGTGGGTATGAACTATGTGAATAGGCGGGTTCTAAGAACCCTCGCCTAAATTCACTACGTTCATTTACCCACCTTAGACTCCAGTCAGTCAAAATGACTATTTTGAACTGTAGGCAGAGTCAGACGCCGATAGGTGGGGGGTTTTCCGAGCAAACAGAAAAGTGATGAAAAGTCTTTTCCCAGTCCGGGATGAAACACTCTACAAAAATCACTCAACACCCTAGTTAAGATCCAAAAAAGGGTGGTGTCTTACCTTGCCTGTGCTGTCCCCGTAGAAGCGAAAATGCTGGTACGGTGACAGGGTTCGGTGTGCCCGAGAAAGCCAGACCCTAACCCAATACTGGGGGGTAGTAAGCTTTCGAAGTAAAGACCGAAACAGTTCTGCATGAGGGCATAGGCCTCAAAGCGGGACCTGGGAGCTTCCAGGGGAGAAATCTGTTCACATAAAATGCCGGACTGACTTATTGCCTATGCGCAGGGAACCTAGCGGTCGTTCGGGCTGGGTCAGCAAACCAAGACTGACCCGCTATGACAGGATCCAACCTAGAGAGACCCTGCTTCAATGGATTTGGTGTGTCTTAGGTGGTAGTTGATGAAGATGTTCTGCGTTCTTCAGAAGCCTGCCCTCCATGTGTGCTCGAGGGGGCGCCTGACGCTAGCACTAGCGAGTTAGCAATCGCACAGACCTCATGCGCTCGTACTTGGTGTCTCTGCAAGCTCTGTGTCGAGGAAGATAAAGTATTATAGACCTCTAATACAGTCGCAGTAAACCACCTGGTTATGGAAGTTGGGGAGGCCGGCCTATCCTGCCTGCCTGGGCCATAACACAAAGATATGTGCCTGGCACCCCGTTCCAGAACGATTTTGTGGCAACTCCGTGCTCGAACCGGGTAGAGAAGCAATTCCTCCTGACCCTCCGGGCCAACAAAGTTTGACAGCCAGGGGATGACGATCGGGTGAGGATCATGTCTCGGGCCTACCTGAGGCGAGGGCCAGTAGGAAGACTATTTTCCACATCAAAAATTGGAGTGGTGCTGATCGGAGAGGCTCAAAGGGCGATCTGCTTAGAGCAGACAACACAGCCGACAAGTCCTAGTTGGACGGCTCCCTTGTATGGGGTCTTGGCATCTGGAAAGCAGTAAATAGTCTTCTAATAATAGGACAATCGACTAGTCTTGTTCCCGTACGTTTTGAGTGGTGGGGAACAAGGGCGACCTGTAGCCAACGATCGCTGCGTAGGACAAACCCACTTCGTCAAACAGGTGGACGAAGGAGCCTGCTACCTGGCCAATAGAGGGATGGTATGGATCAATCTCCCTTCCACTACACCTATCAGTGTATGCTCGCAGCCTAGAAACGTAGGCCGCATTGGTGGAATCCCTGTTCGCTCTGGCCAGAACGTTGGCAGCCTGCTCAGATAAGGCTTTCGTATGTGCGGGTCTACTGAGACCCTCTATGCGTGTAAGTGATACCTGCTGGGCTCGTTGGTAGTGCGCCGTCTGGTTGGGACGGCAGGTCCGGTAAGTCCAGAAGCACTGCTGGTGTTTCGACCATCATTTCCAACAAAAGTGGAAACTAGGCCTTGCTTGGCCAATTGGGTGTGACCAATGATAATATGCAGGTGTGCACCAGTCGAAGTTTTCTCCGGTGCCCGGTGAACTAGCGGGAAGGGAGGAAAGGCATACACAACTAAGTGGGTCCACGGGGTTAGCCTGGAGGCCACCCACTGGGGTATCAGCCACTTTGTGTTCTGGAGATGGAGCCGTCCTGAAAAGGCGTCGCCAGACTGTTCCTCACCCCTGGAAGGTGGTGTGCGGTTAGCTCCACATTGTATTCCAGGCACCAAAGGAGGATTTGCTCCGCTAGGACTGACAACGATGGAGGAATGCGTCCCCCCTCCTTCTTGAGGGAGACCACCACTGCGTTGCCTGTGCGGAGCAGGACTGAGGGCGGGCAAGGGGAGTAGCTAGTACAGTTTCATGGGAAATAAAAAGGGCTTTTTACAAATTACAATGAAAAAAAAGAAGTTTTTACAGTTTACAGTTAAAATTGAATTTTGCAGTGAATTGTGTCATCTAGTCGTTTTACAGTTTCGAAAATGTAATTTCCGTGGATTATTCTTTACAGCTTTTTTTATTTGGATGTAAATTCTTGTACGTACCGAGAAAAATGACACATTTTTACAGTGTACGAAAAAAATATTTGATTGATTACGTTGTACGTCTAGCCTGTGATTACAGAATTACGAAATTTAATTTTTCAATTTACGTACGAACAAAAAAATATTGCAATTACGTTGAACGAAAATAACCCCCTTCAGGACTGTGTGGTCTTGAACTACAGGTAGAAAGTGTGGTAGTGCTAAGTACACTGCTCTCAGTTCGAGCCGGTTGATATGGTAGTCCCGAAACTAATGCGGGGGCCATATCCACCCAAAATTTGAATACTTGGCCCAGCTGGGCAATTCAAGGAGATGACAACTCGCTGGGTGCATCGGTATGTGCAGGTAGGCCCTGCTTAAGTCTAGTGGGGCTAGCCAGTCGAAACGGTGGATGGAGAGGAGAACCCTGAATGGTGTCTCCACGTGGAACCGATCGAGGAGCACGTACTGATTCAGTCTGCCTAGGTCCAGAACTGGACTGGACACCCGCCACTTGTAGATTTGGTACTATGAACACATTTGGGTAGAAGTCTGGACTTAGTTCCGGTTGATGTACCCTGTGTATGACGCCTTTTCCCAGCAAACTGCTACTTCCTGACTGATTGAGTCCCCTGGCAGTGCCCAACAGGGGAGACACTGATGGGGGGAAATGGAGATTTCAGCGGTATCCCGTAACAGGATGTTACCACCTGGAAAGGTCCAGGGACCGGTCACCCACTGTCTCCAAACCGGACTACACCGGTGCAATCTGTGTACGACAGGGATATGTGGCCGTGGGTTCGGCAGTTGCGAGGGGGGATGGGTGCTCCCTTCCCCCATGAGGTGAGTTCCCCAAGGCCTGAAGTAGTCACTAAGTTGTGACCTGGCCACACACACACACACACACACACACCCCCATTGCAGAGGTCAGCGTCAAACATGCTTCCCTCGCTGCCAGGAAGACGTCCGCCCAGTGGGGGGGGGGGGGGGGTGAGGAGCCACCACCTGGCTCTTTCCTCCCTGGGGGTGCGCCACTACTCTTCCCTCCCATGGAAGGGTATGAGCGCTTGCCTCCTGGCTGACTCTGGCTAGCGGACGACGCCCTAGGGCGTTGTGTTTTCTGTGCTTGGGGTGCCCTCCGCTTGCCTTTGGCAGAGCCAACTGGCCAGCGGATTCAATCTGAACCCTCTGGTTCATTGCACTTCAAAGCTGCAAGACTGTACCCACCATTCCCTGAACAAAGAGGGTGGAGGGTGTCCAGTCTGTGTCACTGAGGTGGGGACATACCCCGACTCAGCTTGTCGGTGAAAACACATGCGTCTAAGGCCGCGTCTCGTAGCACAGTAGTGGCCCTGGCCAAGCAAGCCAGGCAACACTAGGGGGTGTCGCACGTAGATGTGCGGTGGCCCACCAGTAAAAATGTTGCCTGGTCTAGGAGGCTGGTGGCTGCCTCCAAGGTCTCCAGAGTCCTGGGCGCGCACAATAATGTGCTCAAGCAACTCTGCCCTCAGGGCTGGATGGGTCGTCTTCGATTGGCAAGAACGCCCATGGAACGCGGCTGTCCCCCTTTGCCTGGTTTGCCAAATTCGTGGTACCGGGGTCTGGGGAAGGAGCCTTGGGATCCGGTTGGGGGCATTTTGGTCTCATCCCACGCTATGGGGTCTGATCCCGAAACCACAGCGACCGGGTAGCGTTTGGTCCAGCGGGAAGTGTTGCCTAATGTTTTCCCCACCTGGCTGCATTAAGCGTTACATCCTCCGCGGCTGACCAACGTCTGCCGATCAACACTGTTTGCGTGCTCTGCGCCCCACTCCGCACCCGGACGGACAGGGAGAGACGTGCCAACAGGGTTGCTTTGGATCCCGACGCCCGTGATCCCATAAGCGTTGAAGCAACCTTAGGTGGTCGCCTTAGCATCAAGGGTGGGGGTATTTGCATTGTATCACTGGGATCGATGATCGCCCCAAAAGCGTGGCTCATCAAGTCATACGAATGGAAGACTCTGAGGGGCTGTATCCGACACAAGCGAACTGCGTCTCCTTTCACTTTAAATATGTGAGAAGAAGCGTGTTCGACTGTGCGTCTCATGACAGGGTCGGTTCCCTCTGGGGACGCCTGTGGGTTGTTAAGAAGGGAGTCAAAACCCACAGCAGAGACCGTACACAAGGATAAATTCGTTACCATTGTACCGTTACCGCGTAACGAACCCTAGCTGGCTGAAAGTAGGGGGGACAACGTGTGCTCTAACCTGAAAGCCCTGCCCCGAGATCGGAGGCTTGGCTGCCAGCACCCCGTTGGCATTCAGAGCCCGAGGCTCCAGAGGAGGCCCGGTGCAATTAGTCTGAGCCTCGGCCTCCCCCAAAAATAGTGGGAGAGCCGCGGCTGGGAACGGGGGTTCCTTGCACGAGACGTGTTGGAATGCAAACATGCTTTCATGTTTCTTCCTGCTTGCCCACCAAGGGGCCGCAGTGGAGACAGCTCGCTCCGACTGCGTCTGATCTACCCGGCCTGCCAGGGACGCAATTGCCCTGACAGTCCCTCGCCCAAAGCCCTCAACTCGAAGGCAAACCCGGCGCCATGCGAGGAAGGGTCCACAAAGGGACCCGCAACGGACCCTACAGGAGGAAAGCCTCCAGGGGCACAGCCTCGCTGCAGCCGGTAAAATCGGGTAAACCACCACCTGAAAAAAACAGACTGTGAGGATGCCCTGGGGGAAACCGAGAAAAATATCGGTACCTCCACCAACAGGCCTCCTACTCGACATCCCGATACATGAAGCACTGGTAGCCGAGTGTGAGGACTTTCCACTCATGCCAAACATGCAACTCACTTTAACCAATTTGTTAACTGGACGCACGACCTTGCTGTGATGCGGTCAGTCTCAGCGATTTTGATGGCTCTGAAAGAAAATCTCAGGCCTCAGAACTCCAGTGAAAACACACACCTTCACGCAAAAACCTCGAACCCTGCACGCAGCTACGATGCGGGTTCTATGTTGGTAAATTCTGAATATAACCACAGCACAGTCGACTCGAAACGCGAGGAGACCAAAAGGAAAAACGGCAGCAAGCCCTGGTGCTGTCATTACATCCATACATTGCTAAATACATTGCAAATAAAAGACGACATGCATGAGGGAAAAAACAAAATACAGTTGTAAAAGGTGCCGCCGCGAAAGTGGTTACGTAGTGGCGCCGGGCTTTAATTTCTTTGTTGTGAAAAATACTACACACAAAACGATACAAGGGTAAAATGACAAGGAAAACTTATCCTACCAGCTACAATGTTGGATGCCGTGCAGCGGCAACAACCCAAGCTAGAAACCCGGACAGGAAAAAAAAGGCAGGCGATCCAGCAAAGCCGCTAAAACTTCATCCCCGCAGATGCAGAGAAAAAAGAAGAGTGATTATACAGTCGTCTATGGCGCGGCCATATGGCCTCGGCCACTTGGTTCGTGACGTAAGGGAAAGAGAATCTTGGGGTTATAGGGCTTCCCCTGACCTAGATTCTATCTCTCCGTCACCGGCAGATTAATGCCTACAGTTCAAAATAGTCATTTTGACTGACTGGAGTCTATGGTGGGTAATTGAACGTAGTGAAATTGAAGATATCATCACAAAATGAACAAATCTGAGATCGGTTCATGAGATACATGTACCTATATATATACGGTAATATCATAGCCATCAAACTTGCTGTTTTTTACAAGAAGTCAAAACTATCAGTTTTTACCAAAAATGACAAAAATATTTATCAAAATTAGAGAATTGAATATATCATCACAAAATTAACACATCTGAGAGGGGTCCACCTCAGGTGCCTATGTACCGGTAATATCAAACAAATGGGCTTTATGAGTCTAAGTAAGAATAAGAGTCAAATCTAAGTAAGGTCTACCCAAGGTACATATATATCAAGTATCAAAGCAATCAGGCTTGTAGTTTTCAAGAAGAAGTCGAAAAAGTAAAAACAGTAATGGATAATCATTCATATGATAAGCTCCGCTCAACAAAGTCTGCAGCGAAGCTAAAAAAAAACTAGATATGAAAATAGCAGGTAAAGAATCACTATATATGCTACAGTGAGAAATACTTACAGCTGATCCAGTAATGATATGTACAGGAGCTTTAGGATTGGTGTACGGTGCATCCACACTGCCGTTATAAACCTACCGACAAATTAATAATGTCATCAATACTATCACTTCTCAAAATGTTATCATTCATTCATTCATTCATTCATTCATTCAGATGGGTAAAGATCTGGAGACCTAAACACTTGTGGATACGAATGATCCTCAACTCTTTACATTGAGGATGTCTGCATGGGTTTCATGATATGCACTTAGCATAGGAACAGCACACTGGACAGTTTTTACCATTTATACCTGTTAGGTGGCATTCTCTCAGATTTAATATGTCATGTTATAGTAGTTGGGGCAGAGAGCACTCTCCCTTGCAGAGTCTTTTTGACCTTGGGAGCCACAGAGAGCCACAACTAGACTCTGCCACAGGCGACATTTTACACCAAAATTGTTGGTATTTCACGTTTTTAATTCATTTGTTTCTTATATCTCAAGCTTCTGTTGAAAAAAATGTGTGTTATTTAAAATAAATATATCAAATATTTTTACATTCAGTGCTAAAATCATTTCAAAATGTTAAAATAATGAAAAAGTAGATCGTGCGGTAGGAGACGTAGATGTGAATCGTCTGTTCAAATCATTGGTGCGTTCGCATTGTTGCCTCAGGGTGACGCGGCTGCCCAATTTTTGTTTGACTGCGATATGACGTCACAACTGGGCAATGTTGGGGAAAAGATTGTGAACTACGAAATTGATAGGTAAAAAGGTATTTAGATAATTTTCCCAAACATAAAAACATATAAATTTTATCGATTTTATACGAGTTTCGCTCACATAGCAGCAGACCAATACATCTACTTCCTGCCACGTCGCTTGGGGCATCCCCGGGGAGAGACGTGAGCGCACTAGGTCCGGTCATAAATATTTAAATTAGCTTGTGGCAGAGACTAGGGGGATATGTTCCCTGGTGACTACCTAGCTTCGTGATAAAAGACCCATAGTCTCCGGATGGAGAATGGACAGAGAGTACATATTATTGTAGTTACCAGTTCATTCAAAGAAATTAAATATGACACAATGTCATTTCAATATGATATCTACAATGTAAATGAAGCAGTATTTCAAAACCATCATCTACCAGTATTGAGTCTATAAACCATAGCTACATGTACTTACAAAGGAATGCAGTAACGTAGAATACAAATGTCATGAATAGAATAGGTTTGCTTACCGTGAGATTGTACACAGGCCATAGTCTTTCATAAGTGTGTTCATGCGCCCAGAATTCCAAATCAACACCTTTAAGTTATGCAATAAATATTATATAAATTATCGGAAATATTCGTTACAATATTAGCATACAGGATGCTTACGTAAATGGTAAATTTCAGAACAAGCACAATAACCATAAAAATACTTTGTCTAAAGTTTTATTTGGTGTAAACAAACAATTTATTTCACATGTGTTGTACATAATGAATAGTATTTTGATTTGAATTTCTTGTTTTAGTGTCCAGAAAAAGATATCTATAATTTGCATAATAACCAGAATTACCAGATATCATGTTTAAACATTTATGTCTTCCATGTTAAATCAAAAGTTATGCATTAAGATATTCCTCAAATAGATGGGTATTTGTTGACAGTCCTCATTAATTATGTAGATCACATGTCGCTATGTAAAAAAAGTCATTCAAAATCAACATTTTTTAATAAAATTCTCATGATGTATATTCTTGAAAAAGTAAAACAAGTGAATCAACAATTTTCTAAAAATGTGCATTGCACTGTGAAATGAAAAAAACATGGCTTACCATATTTATAAAATAAATCTTCTAAGCCATATTTTCCAAAATATCCTGTTCGAATCTAAAAGAGATATTGACAAAAATGCAACATTACTTTAGTCCCCGCACCATGATGTAATTTATTTATACCATATGTACCCTGTCACAAAACGTTGCACACAGATCAGTGCTAGTTTGTGACAAAGTTGCGCATATGTTTTGATATTACATATCCTGGTAGACCTATGTACTTTACAAAGTTACCCTAGTAGTTTAATTAATAACAACAACAGTGAGCATCACTATTATATTATATTACAGTCTGATAGTTCTTGCCACTGTTGTCACTGTTGTACGTCTAAGAACTAAAAATCATATACTGATGGTCCAAACATTTCTCGCAGCAAACTGTTCATAAGGCCAAAAAAAACAAACTTATGTTGCCCTAAAGTCGAAAAATTGAAAAAATTCGGTTGGTCGGTCGGATTTTTTTTTTATTAACTCTTGAAAACTAAGGGTATTGTAAATAGCGGGGTACATGGACTTCATAGTATTCGGAACATGTCAGAGAAATACAGATCAGCCCGAGGTTTAAAGTTGCCACTTATTTCCCGGGGTCCCTAGGGGCCAAACAACGGTCTGGGAACGCGACCAGATATTTCATATTTTACGGTCGATCGCTGAGGGCAACAAAACATTTTTTTGGGGGCCTAATGATTCAACTCATACCGGGTAGTCATCAGGACAAAATTGTCATCTTCACAGAAATCTTCACAGCTACAAAACACTATGACTGTATCTCTCTATATTACAATTGATCCACAATTTTGGAATAAGCATTCACATAAAATAATGTTAGTTGATATATTACTGACATAGATATAGTAATTCATCTCTTCATTTCATTATGATTATATATTTAAAATAAATTCTCGTGATGATGAGAAGCATTTTATCATTTGATGTTCTTCCTTTAAAAGTGAAAGGAAAAGACTTTTTGAAGATTGTGATCTTTCAAGTCTATTTTTTGTTGTTGAGGTAATGAAAAATGGAAAAGCCTTTTCACTATACCTTAAAGATAAAATCTATAAATCCCCTGATTACAAGTTGTGAGAATATTGAAGTTATTATTTCGATATTCTTTATTTTTTTCAGTTTTTTTTATGTCTTGTTATTTTCTTTACCTTACTAAATCCTCTGATGATTTAGTTGTGTAATAAAGTTATCATTATTATTATTATGGTCCACAATGTACTTCATACTTACAATACTTTCAAATCGTGTGCAGTCATCGTGATCGTTATTAGAACAATACATTGGACGGTGACCCATTGTTATAATCCATGGACGTTTGGCACGATTTTCAGGTTTTGTTGCTTCCTGTGTAGATAAGGAATTCATAAAAAATTATATGCTCTATATGAAGGCTATAAGTGGTTTTAAATCTTACCATATTTACTCTATTTGTAGTGCATGTGTTTATATAAATGACAGAGGTGCGCCTATGGTAAACAAGCAGCCTGTCGGCTGAGATAGCTCTGCTGTTAGCAATGCACATTTCAATTAAAGAACAGAAGATATCATTAGAAAATGAACAATATGTATAGTATCAAGCAATGGGATTTGCTGTTTTCAACAAGAATTCAAAAATATCACTTTTTACCAAAAATTACAAAAATATTCACCAAAATTAGAAAATTAAAGATATCATTACAAAATGAACAAATCTGAGAGAGGTCCACATGTAGTACCTATAAATGCAATATAAAAGCAATCGGACTTGCAGTTTTTAACAAGAAGTCAAAAATATCACTTTTTACAAAAAATTACAAAAATATTTACCAAAATTAGAGAATTAAAGATATCATTACAAAATGAACAAATCTGAGATAGGTCCACATGTAGTACCTATATATGTAATATCAAAGCAATTGTGTTTTTTAGCAAGAAGTCGAAAATATCACTTTTTACCAAAAATATTCACCAAAATTAGAGAATTGAAGATATCAACATGAAATGAACAAACCTAAGAGAGGTCTACCCAAGGTACATATACACCAAGTATCAAAGCATTCAGGCTTGTAGTTTTCAAGAAGAAGTCACAAAAAAACATTGACACAGACGACGGAGACGACGGACAATCACTCATATGATAAGCTCCGCTCGACAAAGTCAACAGCAGAGCTAAAAAAGCTGTATGGCAATGATCAAGCATACAAGCATGTATTTTAAATCATTTCTATTAAATAAAGATGGATGGTGCATTCCCAAATTTACTGCCTAGGGAGCCGCACCACTCATACATGTACATACATCATGGGACACCATACACTACAGGTTACTTTACACTCTTTCTTCATTGATTTAAACCCAGGAATAAAAGTGTCATTTTACATACAATATTCAAAGCTTAGCATGTCTGAAATTTATTTTTTTTCACCAAGTCACCATGGCTTCATGCAAGTATGTGAATTACCTTCAAATCATTAATCAACCAATTCCATTGATTGATTATTTGTTCAAATCCATAATTAATGAAGAAATAGACTTCAGTGGAAAATGAAATGATGTGAGCTGGCCCAATATTCCAGCTGAAATGAATAACAATAACTAATGAAGCACAAGATGAAATTGATTAATCATCAAGATGATGAAGACAATGTCATATTTTATACATGTATATTCAGAAAGCATGGCATTTCAGCTTTATAAACACCATTTTTGGTCGAAAATCCTATTTTTTATTTGATTTGGCCACTAAGTAAGTATCATTTAAGATTACTACATTAAATATGAAATATCAATGAAAAATTGTATTGACCATTATTGTCATAATTGTCTATTCTTGTGTTTTGCAAGAATTACTCTTTTAGTAATTTATCCGCTCATTTCTCTTTTGTTTCTGGTATAAAAAACAAGCAGCCTATCGGCTGAGATAGCTCCGCTGTTAGCAATGCACATTTCAATTAAAGAACAGAAGATATCATTAGAAAATGAACAATATGTATAGTATCAAGCAATGGGACTTGCTGTTTTCAACAAGAATTCAAAAATATCACTTTTTACCAAAAATTACAAAAATATTCATCAAAATTAGAGAATTAAAGATATCATTACAAAATGAAGAAATCTGAGAGAGGTCCACATGTAGTACCTATAAATGTAATATAAAAGCAATCAGACTTGTGGTTTTTAACAAGAAGTCAAAAATATCACTTTTTACCAAAAATTACAAAAATATTCACCAAAATTAGAGAATTAAAGATATCATTACAAAATGAACAAATCTGAGAGAGGTCTACATGTAGTACCTATATATGTAATATCAAAGCAATTGGACTTGCGTTTTTACAGAAGTCGAAAATATCACTTTA